GATCAACAAAATAACAGCTATGTCTCCACCAACTAGCAAAAAAGAAACACAGACTTTCCTAGGTGTTGTGGGGTTTTGGAGAATGCACATCCCAAATTACAGTCTGATTGTAAACCTGCTCTACCAAGTAACCTGTAAGAAGAATGATTTTGAATGGGGCCCTGAACAACGACAAGCCTTTGAACAAATCAAGCAGGAAATAGTCCATGCAGTAGCCCTTGGGCCAGTTCAAACAGGACCAGATGTAAAGAATGTGCTCTACACTGCAACGGGGGAGAACGGCCCCACCTGGAGCCTCTGGCAGAAAGAACCTGGGGAAACTCGAGGTCGGCCCCTGGGGTTTTAGAGTCGGGGATACAGAGGATCTAAGGCCCGCTATACTCCAACAGAGAAGGAGATATTGGCAGCATATGAAGGAGTTTGATCTGCTTCGGAGGTGGTCGGTACTGAAGTGCAGCTCCTCCTGGCACCCCGATTGCCAGTACTAGGCTGGATGTTCAAGGGAAGGGTCTCCTCTACACATCATGCAACTGATGCTACATGGAGCAAGTGGGTTGCACTGATTACTCAGCGGGCTCAAATAGGAAACCCCAGTCGCCCAGGAATATTGGAAGTGATCATGGACTGGCCAGAAGGCAAATACTTTGGGATATCATCAGAGGAGGAAGTGGGTCGTGCTGAAGAAGCCCCGCTGTACAATCAGTTACCAGAGAATGAGAAGAAATATGCCCTGTTCACTGATGGGTCCTGTCGTATTGTGAGGAACCATCGGAGATGTAAGGCTGCTGTATGGAGTCCTACAAGACGAGTTGCAGAAGCTGCTGAGGGAGAAGGTGAATCGAGTCAGTTTGCAGAAGTGAAGGCCATTCAGCTGGCTTTAGACATTGCTGAACGAGAAAAACGGCCAGTTCTCTATCTCTACACCAATTCATGGATGGTAGCAAATGCCCTGTGGGGACGGTTACAGCAATGGAAGAAAAACAACTGGCAGCACAGGGGCAAACCCATCTGGGCTGCTGCATTGTGGCAAGATATTGCTGCTCGGGTAGAGAACCTGGCTGTGAAAGTACGCCACGTAGATGCTCATGTGCCCAAGAATCGGGCTACTGAAGAACATCAGAACAACCAGCAGGTGGATCAGGCTGCTAAGATTGAAGTAGCTCAGTTGGACCTGGATTGGCAGCATAAAGGTGAATTATTTATAGCCCGATGGGCCCATGACACCTCAGGCCATCAAGGTAGAGATGCAACATACAGATGGGCTCGTGATCGAGGGGTGGACCTAACCATGGACGCTCTAGCACAGGTTATTCATGACTGTGAAACATGTGCTGCAATCAAGCAAGCCAAACGGTCAAAGCCTCTTTGGTATGGAGGACGGTGGCTGAAATATAAATATGGAGAGGCCTGGCAGATTGATTACATCACACTCCCTCAAACTCGCAATGGCAAGCGCCACGTACTTACAATGGTGGAAGCAACCACCGGATGGCTGGAAACATATCCTGTGCCTCATGCCACCGCCCGGAACACCATCCTGGGCCTTGAAAAGCAAGTCCTATGGCGACATGGCACCCCAGAAAGAATAGAGTCAGATAATGGGACTCACTTCCAAAACAACCTTATAGACACTTGGGCCAAAGAGCATGGTATTGAATGGGTGTATCACATCCCCTATCATGCACCAGCCTCCGGGAAAGTTGAAAGATACAATGGACTGTTAAAGACTACATTGAAAGCAATGGGTGCTGGGACATTCAAAAATTGGGATACGCATTTGGCAAAGGCCACCTGGTTAGTCAATACTAGGGGATCTGCCAACCGAACTGGACCTGCCCAATCCAACCTGTTACGTACTGTAGATGGGGATAAAATTCCTGTAGTGCATGTAAGAAATATGCTGGGTAAAACAGTCTGGGCTACTCCTGCCTCAAGAAAAGGCAAACCCATTAGTGGAATTGCTTTTGCTCAGGGACCTGGATACACTTGGTGGGTGATTCAAAAGAACGGAGAGGTCCGGTGTGTACCTCAAGGGGATTTGATACTGGGTGAGAATAGCCCATGAACTGAATTGTACCATGTTAATTACTATATAATACTGTATGTTATCACTACCATAACTACTATAGGTGACTAATTAGAATGTATGGAAAAGAGTGTAACCTGAGCATGACATAAATGGTATGGAATAAGGGGTGGATAGATGTCCTGGTTTCAGTTAGAACAGAATTAATTTTCTTCCTAGTAGCTGGTGGAATGCTGTGTTTTGGCTTAGGATGAGAAGAGTGCTGATAACACCCCGATGTTTTAATTGTTGCAGAGCAGAGCTTATACCAAGCCAAGGAAATCTCAGCCTTTTGCTCTGTCCTGCCAACGGGCAGGCTGGGTGTGCAGTAAGAGCTGGGAGGGGACAGAGCCAGGGCAGTAAGAGCTGGGAGGGGACAGACCCAGGACAGGTGACCCAAACTAGCCAAAGGGGTATTCCATCCCATCTGATGTCATGCTAAACAATAAATAGGGGTGGCTAGCCAGGGGGAGGGGGCCGGACTGCTCGGGGTTAGGCTGGGCATCGGTCAGCGGGTGGTGAGCAATTGCATTGTGCATCACTTGTTTGTACATATTATTATTACTTTCCTATTATCACCATTGTATTATTATTATTATTATTGTTATTATTATTTTTATTATTATTATTTTCCTGTCTTATTAAACTGTCTTTATCTTAACTCACGGGCTTCACTTTCCATTTCTCTCCCCCGTCCCAGAGAGGGAGGGGGGAGGGTGAGCGAACGACTGCGTGGTGTTTAGCTGCCTGCCCGGTTAAACCACGACAGTGCTGATGACACCAAGCTGGGTGGTGCAGTCGACACACTGGAGGGAAGGGATGATTTGCAGATGGACCCAGACAGGCTTGAGAGATTGTCCTGTGAGAACCTCATGAGGTTCACAAAAGCCAAATGCAAGGTTCTGCAGCTGGACTAGGGCATTCCCAAGCACAAATACTGTGGAGAATGGATAGAGAGCAGCTCTAAGGAGAAGGACCTGGGGTGCTGGCGGATGAGAAGCTCAACCTGTGCCAGCAATGTCAGTTCACAGCCCAGAATGCCAACTGTATTCTGGGCTGCATCAAAGAAGTTTGGCCCAAAGCTTGAGAGAGATGATTCTCTTCCTCAGCTCTGCTCTTGGGAGACCACTCCTGGAGTACTGCATTCAGCTCTGGGGCCCCAAACTCAAGAAGGACATGGAAGTATTAGAAGGAGTCTAGAAGAGGCCAGAAACATGACAGAGAGGCTGTGGCACCCTTTCCGTGAAGACTGGCTGAGAAAGCTGGTTCTCTTCAGCCTGGAGAGACCCTATAGCAGCCTTCTAGTACCTAAAGGGGGCCTTTAGGTAATGTTTTAAAATCAAGAGGGGGTACTTTAAAATTAATTATAAGGAAGACACACTTTCCTTTGGGGGTAGTGATCAATGGTACAGGTTGCCCAGAGAAGTTGTGTCAACCCATCCCTAGCCCCTTTGTGGCCAGAAGCCTCCCATGCCAAACCACGATGGACACCCCCCCTGCAAAGTTGCTGTTTAACCTCATCTTTCCTGCATGGGGCCTCCTCTGCACCACAGAGCCCAGTCCCAGGTCCCACTTTGCCACAAGCACTCTACATGGGCGCTACAGGGCCTAACTCTACCATGTCCTGCCCTGGCTCTGCCATACTGCTGGGCAGGGGAGAGGGTGACGACAGCAAAGGGATGCGTTTGGGTGTGGAATGTGGAGTCTGGCAGTGACAAGGACTCAAGGGAGAGGACAGGGAAAGGCAGCAAATGCAGCACAAGCTGTGGAGTTGTTGAGGGGCCACATTTGTGCCAGAAACCTGGGTGGGCAGCAGCTGACAGGAGGCGAGGGTGATACTGTAAAAGCCAGTCAAAGTCTCTAAGACTCAAATAGGAGTTTTAGAAAGCAGGCATTCTATTATTGAGATGCTAGACGCACAGGAGATCACTAACCTGGTGTGCTTACAGAACTGTAAGCCCTCCCTCTCTGGGACTAGGGAGAGAAACGGGAAAGTGAAGCCCGTGAGTTGAGATAAAGACAGTTTATTAAGGCAGGAAAATAATAATAACAATTACAATAATAACAATAATGATGATAATAGTACTACTAATAATAATGTGTACAAACAAGTGATGCACAATGCAATTGCTCGCCACTCGCTGACCGATGCCCAGTCTAACCCCGAGCAGTTCAGCCCTCCTCCCCATGGCTAGCCACCCCTATATATTGTTTAGCATAACGTCAGATGGTATGGAATACTCCTTTGGCTAGTTTGGGTCAGTCGTCCTGGGTCTGTCTCCTCCCAGCTCCTGCTGCACCCCCAGCCTGCCCGTTGGCAGGAGAGAGTGAGAAGCTGAGACGTCCTTGGCTTGGTATAAGCACTGCTCTGTAACAATTAAACATCACTGTGTTATTAGCACTCTTCTCATCCTAAGCCAAAGCACAGCGTTCCACCACCTACTAGGAAGAAAATTACCTCTGTCTTAACTGAAACCAGGATATATATCCACCCCTTATATCACATCACTTATGTTATGCTAAGATTACACTCCCTACAAGACAATGTTCTGCAGCTGGCCATGGCCATGGCTCCAGGGAAGCAGCAGCCCCAACCCAAAGGCAGCAGAGAGGCAGAGCCCAGTGGGCAGTGAGGGGCAGCCCCGAGGGCCACCGGGGCTGCTCCTGCATGTGGCAGCTGGGCTCTTGGCCCTGAGCCCCTCCAGAGGAGATGGGAAGAGACGCATACTGAGATCAGTGAATTTCTGATGGCTTCTTTATTGTCTTTATTTCCACTGGAAGACTAATCCTATGGGTAGATTAGATGATTTGGTCAATGTATATAAATTTATTAACAGGCAGGATGCTAAGAATAACATTACCGAAATAAAGGTAAAAGTGAACTGACGTGAATCACATTAATTTCACATAATTATGACTATATATTATAAACTCATTATTGATGTTTAAGAAGCATGTATAGGAGCAGTCTCCTCACTCCATAATTTAGGTCCTTGTTTCTCATGCCGTAGATGAGGGGGTTCAGTGCTGGAGGTACCACTGAATACAGAAATGCCACCACCAGGTCCACGGATGGGGAGAAGACAGAGGGGGGCTTCAGGTAGGCAAACATGCCAGTGCAAAACATCAGGGAGACCACAGCCAGGTGTGGAAGGCACATGGAAAAGGCTTTGTGCCGGCCCTGCTCAGAGGGCATCCTCAGCACTGCCCTGAAGATCTGCACATAGGACACCACAATGAAAACAAAACAACCAAAGCCTAAAAAAACACTAAACACAAGAGACAAAACTTCCCTGAGGTAGGCATCTGAGCAGGAGAGCCTGAGGATGTGGGGGATTTCACAGAAGAACTGGTCCAAAACATTGCCTCGGCAGAGGGGCAGGGAAAATGTGTTGGCTGTGTGCAGGACACTGTACAGAAAGCCACTGCCCCAGGCAGCTGCTGCCATCTGGACACAAGCTCTGCTGCCCAGGAGGCTCCCGTAGTGCAGGGGCTTGCAGATGGCAACGTAGCGGTCATAGGCCATGATGGTGAGAACATAAAATTCTGATGCAATCAAGAAGACAAACAGAAAGACCTGTGCAGCACAGCCTTGATAGGAGATGGCCCTGGTGTCCCAGAGGGCATTGGCCATGGCTTTGGGCAGAGTGGTGGAGATGCAGCCCAGGTCGAGGAGGGCGAGGTTGAGGAGGAAGAAGTACATGGGGGTGTGGAGGTGGTGGTCACAGGCTACAGCACTGAGGATGAGGCCATTGCCCAGGAGGGCAGCCAGGTAGATGCCCAGGAAGAGCGCAAAGTGCAGGAGCTGCAGCTCGCGCGTGTCTGCAAATGCCAGCAGCAGGAACTCGCTCACAGAGCTGATGTTGGGCATTTTTTGACATTCTCTGTTGGAGAGAAAAAGGTAGAACAAAGTTAGAACTGATTTGGATGAGGAAAACCCGTTACAGGTCATAGAGAACCCCCAAACACAGCCTCTCTCTTTGCAGGAGAACGTTTGTGCAGCTCTCCTGCTTGAGCTGTGGCTGGTGCTGGCTGAGAGTGGCACTGGGCGCAGGGGCCACTATGGGCTGCAGAGGAGTCCTACCTGCAGCAGGAGGGAATCAGGAACATGGGGGAAACTCAAGTTCAGTCCACTTGTCAAGTCAATGAGTTTGCAGAATTTTCTTGCAAACAACTCATCTGAATGCAGAGCAGAGCTGCGGTGTTTTACTTGCTTTAATGTTATTCGGTTGCCCCTGTAACGCTTAGGTGAATTATTCACAGAAACTATTCATGCAAGGTGAAACATTGACAACTGTGTAGATATTGGATGGTTGAATGCTGTGACTTTTCATGTGTGCTCCTGGTGAAATCCTGTGGATGCCAGGAGGCAAAAGGACTGTCCCTTGGTGAAGACTGAGCAGAGCAGATCTGCCTAGCAGTGAGCTTGGACACGAGAAGAAACTGGAGACAGCTGAGAGCAGAGAAGCCCGACTCTAAATGCAGATGGACAGAATCCTCACCTTATCTCCAGGTGTGTGATCAGGATCTCAGCTCTTGCCTCCTAGATAGGAGTGCAGAAGCCTCAAACCAGCTGCCCACAGACAGCCATCCAGCAGCACAGACATGGCCTTAGCAAGGAGGTGTCTTCTCCTTGGGGCACCTGGATAACACAAGGAAGCCATGAGAGAGCTGCAACCTGCCGGAGGGAAGCCTGCAGCCCAGGAAGATACCCCACAGACAGAGTTGGATATCTGCAAGCTTGCGTGTGCCAATATCCTAGCTGCACTCCTGCAGTGTTCTAGCCACCCCTGTCTTATCTGACCAGGGGCAGCTGGGTTATAACACTCCAAGGGGCTTCTGCCAGACTTCCTCACCTTGCACTGCAACCCAGCAGGACTCTCAGAGCCTACTGCATTGCCCACTGCCCTCCCAGAAACAAGACCCAGCAGGAGACCCTCCCAGGACCTGCAGCTGCATGGCCCTGCAGCCAGACCCTTACCTTGTCAAGGGCTTTGCAGGTTTCTCCTGCTGGCAGCTCTCAGCATCCTCCCACTGCCAACTGCCTTCAGTCCCTCTCTTCTTTTCTTCTCTCTGTGTCTGTGCCTCTGTGTCTCTTTCCTGCTGCGTTGTGCAGAGGAGCTGCTCCTGGGCAGAGCTGTCTCTCTGCTTCATGGGACTTTTTAAAATGTATTTTCTCATGTCCCAGGAGCCCAGCCCAGCTCAGCACCAGAGGCCTAGCCCAAGGTATTATAATCACCACTCTGGTGGCTTTGCTGATGAGCCCACGAGAAGCCAATTAGGATCTGGTGCTTTAATGATTATCTGTCTCCTCAAAAGCATTAGTGGAAGAGACAATAGCCATAGCCATGGACCCAAATATCTCATAAGTCAGCTTTGTAGGAAGCTTGCCTGGCTCCTGGTGATAAGGCACAACTGCTCGTATGGCATCCTTGTGGTGGAAACCACTCCTGAAGTAGGCATCCCAGCCCAGCAGAATCCTTGCGGCCTCTCAACCAACCAGACACAAGTCACCTCAGCAGCATCTTCCAAGCCAGGGGCCTGCTGCTGGCCTTGCAGCTTCTTGGCTAGACACAGCCAAGCCTTGTGCCTGCTGCTGCCCACTCATGGACTCAAGCAGAAGGGACAGGACAACCCATGTTGGGGCTTTCTTTCTGTCTGGGTCCTCCTGGGTGTGTAGGCAGAAGGGATCCCACAGTCAGCATGCCAAGCAGGTGCCTTGTCTTCTCAAAAGTCAAGGGTTTCCTACCACTTACATGCAGAGGTGACCTCACAGTCCCATTCCGTGACACGTTCCTGCTGCTGCCCTATCAAGTGCAGAGACAGAAGTGACCTCACAGTCCCTGCCACAGTCACATTCCTCCTGCTGGGGCCTGAAATCCTGAGGTAGAGCTGACCTCTCTCTTGTCTCGTAGGGACTAGATTTTACCTTTCTGGGTTAGAGATTAAGCAAAGTTTTTGTTGAAAGATATGGTGTTCTGTTAGTGCTGTCACGTTTCTGGTTATGGTATGGGCAAGCATTATGGTTAAGGGTTTTGTTTATGTCTGGCAAGAAGTCTAGGGATAAATAGAGCATTTTAATGTTAGTGATAAGGGCAGGGATTAGGGTGAGCAAGAGAGTAAGGGAAGGAAAGGGGGCTATGGTCTGAGTTTTTCTTCAGGTGGTATTTTGAGTTCTGCTTTCCAATAGTGGATTCCTGTCAGGAAGCTGCACTAATGTTTAGGTTTAAGGATTATTGTTATTTTTGAAAATAGTTTACAGGCCCTACAAGAATGTCTGAAGTCAGTGTTAGAGCAGCATCAACATTGCATGAACCATCTTACCTCTACAAAGGTAAGGTTCCAAGCTCCTCTTCACTTCTTCTTCCCGTACCCCTATCTGACATCTCTCCTGGCCAGGCTACTCTTGACCTCTCCATAGCAGTCCTCTAACTGGGATCAGCTTTCTGATGGTTGTCATTATATCAGAGCACCTGTCTCACCTCCGTTAGCTACTCTATTCCGTAGTATTAGAATACTCTATACTTTGTTGCCTATTCTATTCTGTTCCTCACAAAGCCTCCCATGGGAATTGTTAGGGCAGATAATTGGAAGCCATGATTTCAGATTGGCAAAGGCAGTGTACTGAGAAAATCTCAGTTTATTTTGTTGAAGCAGAAGGGCCAAGGCCTGACCCCAGCCACTGGGAGGGGAGATTCTACAACCCCAGCACCCCTATGTCTCACTCAGGGCTCTTCTTGGGGTTTGTGGGGTAGGGGGAGATGCCCACAATACCATATGTGAAGGGCAATGGTATGACACCTTCCAGCATTTGCACAGGGTTGAAAGGAGAATTCATGGTCCCAATGCCATGAGTATAACACGTCTCCTCCTAAGCCATGGCCAAGGGGACAAAGATGTGAGCGCTGCTGCAGCCTTCCATTCTTGTCAGAGCCTTCTGCCTTCTCCTCTGCATGCTTTCTTGTGCTGTCCCACACTTCCCTGAAGGCTGCAGACAACCACTTCTCTTACCCACCTTGCTCTCACTCTGCTGTTCCCATGATTTCAGTGCGTCCTCTCCACTCTCACCAGCTGTTCCTTCAAACACAAGGGCATGGGCTGATCCAAACTCCCACTGGGTGATCTCTGGACCCACAGCACCAGTTCCAGTGCCTCACCTTTAAGTCAAGAATTTCATCTGACTATCTACTCTAAATGTACCCTCTTTAAGTTTAAAACCACTCCCCTTGTCCTACCATAGAATCAGAAATCATAGAAACACAAAGTTGGAAAGGACCTACAAGATCATTTAGTCCAACTATCTCTAATTCTACACACTAAGTTACAAAGTCATATCTCCTAGCACCTTGTCCTGGTGCTTCTTGAACACTGCGAGGGTTGGTGACTCCAGCACCTCCTTGGGCAGACCATTCCGGTGCCTGACTATTCTGTGAGAGAAAAAGGTTTTTGTGATATCTAATCTAAATCTCCCTAGGCACAACTTGTAGCCTTTTCCTCAAGTCCTATCATTAGTTATCTGAGAGAAGAGGCTGACCCCTCTTATATGTGGAAGAAGCTTTTTCCTCTGAGGCCTCACCATCCTCAGAGGAAAAAGCTTCTTTCATATATCCAATTTAAACCTACCCTCTTTTAGTTAAATATCATTTCTCCTTGTCCCATCACTACACTCCCAGACAATGACTGTCTCCCCAGCTTTCCTGTAGGTCCTCTCTAAGTACTGGAAGATTGCTCTAAGGTTTCTCTGGTGCTGAGTAGTACCAGTTTTCAGAAATGTGTTGTATAGCACATTACTTGCTGCCTGTGTTCCCATTGTGCTCTTTGTCATTTCTGGGTCTGGTTTAAAGATATTTTGCTATGTTGTGTAGCACTGGCTTATGATTCTATAAAATTATTGGTCATGTGACAAATCCATTCTTTGTACTGAGCACTGCCATTACCTCCATACCTCAGGAACCATCACTCAGAAACTTAAGAATTATACTCTTGACTTTTTTGCTTTAAGGAGCCAATCTAGGGGGAGAAAAAGGAGGGACACTTCTCCACTTCTTCACTCTCTCCTTTACCTTCCCCTTCTCCAGGCTAATTACACTACCTCTACAAAGCTGAGAACATCACTGGCATGGTCCTATTGTGATGTCTCCTGAATGTGGTTCAACTTTTGTTTAAGGATAAACAGCTCTTGAAGAATGCCCTCCAGAGACCTGCCCCAAGGCCGGAGAGTTAGGAGTGGCAGGGAGCATGGGAGGATCTGGGCAGGAACCTAGAGCAGTGGGCACCTCCGGTGCTTTGGAACTTCCCCCCTGAGCACATGCAGAATCCTTAAAAATTGCAGAAGTGCTTGAAATGGAGGGGTTATCACCTTGGCAATTTCAAAGGGAATTCCAAGGAGAGCCTCAGTCAGTGCCACTCCAAGCCCTGGGACAGGCCCTGCAGCTACTCCAACACCTCTGACTTGTCCTGCAGCCACTCCAGACCCTGGGACAGGCCCCAGCTCTACTTTGGGGACTAGACCAGACTCCCCAGGTCTGCTGTTGCTAGGCCAGAGCACCAACCTGTGCCAGGATCCATTGCCTCTACATGCAGGAGAAAACAGAGGGTGTGAAAATCAGGCTTCTGAGAATGGAATAGAACTACTGCCCAGAAAAGAAAGGA